AATAATAAATAAAATAAAAAAAATATATACCCTGAAAGTTTGATTAGAGGTTCTTATCACTCTCCTATCTACTTGCTCCTCCCTATTATTTCTTGGAATTACTGCTTGAGGTGCTCAGCTTAAACAATTCATAATTTATTTGAATTTATTAAAAAGAATGAAAAAGAATAATATATCGTTTAAAATACAACAACCAACGAAAAAAGTAAAAGAATATAAAAAAAATAAAATAATAATTATTGTGATATTTAAATTTAAAAAAAGATTATCATTAAAATAAGATGTAAAGAAATTCGGGTAATTAGCAATTTATTAAACTAAAAGGGTTTAAATGTAGTAGGTTCACAATCTAACATAAGTAGGAAACAGTCTTATAAGACTGTTCCCTACTTATGTTAGATTGTGAACCTACTTATGTTAGAATGTTATCTACTTACCGTTAGTATTACCTACTTATCGATGGGGACCAGTTTCGATAGTCTACGCTTATTTGGTAGCCTATTTCAATATTATTGCTTTTCCTTATTTTTACGTCATTCTTATTCCCTTTCTTTCTTATTTTCTCCCTTTATTTGGTTGCTGTTTTTTATAGGCTTCCTTTTCTTTTTGCTTTATACGTTGCTATATTAGTTTTTCGCTATTCTCCTTTACTCTCCTTTTTTGCTTTTAGTTAATTCCTGCGTGTTCTTGTTTTGGGTTTAAGATTGCGTTTTACTTTATTCCTGGTATGTGTGGTTTTCGATATTTTACTTGGCCTTTATTTCACGTGGCTAATGTTAGTTAGTTATCCAGTGCTTGGGGGTATGGTTTGGCGATAGAAGTTGTTCTTGCTATGCATTTTTTTTCTGAAGGGACGCGATACGCTTCTTGCCCCTGTTGAGTGCCTCTACTGCTAAGATGCTCAGTTGCTGGTCTTGGATTTAGTTGCGTCATATGGTTCTTTTCTGGAGGGACGTGATCAGGACGGGTGTGGCCATATCGAAATAATACGCAAAAGCAAAATTTTCTCGTTTCTTTTTCTAATATAATTCTACTTTTGCGTATCACCATTTTTATACCCTAGTTTATACTCTTGCTTTTCTAGAACTCTTTCTTGTATAGTCGTTACTTTGGTGTATTCCTATATCGATTACTTCTGGATATTACTATACCGATCTTTCATACCTTTTTTTCTTGTATTCTCCTGAGCCTTTCCGCTATCTTGCCCTCTTTCCTGTCTATTGTCGGTAGGACGCCAAGGTATAACTTTTTATTTTCTTTCCTATTTATAATTCTACCTTGACGTCCTACCAAATCTACAGAGGGTGATCACGGGTTTCCGAACGATTTAAAAAATCGTTTACATTTATTTATTTATGTTAATAATTTTTTT